TCACCTGATTAAGCCCTGTCTATTTGCTGTCAAAAAAGAAAGTTTTGAACCAAATCTAAAACGTAGAGAGGGTGTCTGTCTCCCAAATCCAAACTGAGAGCTAGATCCACAGAAGAGGGTCCTGAAAGGTGAAGGCTCTTCCCCCCTTTCTGCTTTTAAAACCCTTAGAACTTCAAGTAAGCTGGCAGTCTAAGAGCAAAGTGCTCCATTAGGATATGTTACTGCGAGGTCTTTAAGATGAGATGGGCCCTGATCATTCAAGAAAAGGATTTTAAATTAGATTCTGGTTTAAACAGTTAGCCCATTAAAAAAAAAACAGTATGGTCAAAATATGCTCTTTCTCTCGGGTCCCTGTCAATACTCTTTCTAGATCAACTGAAGACTTTTGACTGGTTTGTTACTTTACCTTTTAGGACGTCCTGATAATAATATATTACACTAGTCCAGCCTTACCCGCCAGTACTAAATGTATGAGCCATGTTTTTTTTTCCAGCATCACTCTGAGACAGGGTGTTTCTCATTTTGGATATTCTTCATGAATGTAAAAAGAGACAAAATATATTAATTAGAGGTTATCCAGGCTTTTAAGACAATCAGTCTGTGCTGTCTGGCTTCATGGGCAGGTAGGTAGAAGGTATGCTATGCTTTCTATTGATGTTGCCTAAGGGAAGCTTGTATAATGTAAACAGAATTGGTCCTAGCACTGAACCCTGTGGACCTTAATAATTAACCTTAGTGTGTGAAGAGGGGTAGGGCTGTGCGATATGACCAAAATCTCATATCCCGATATAAGACCTCTATTGTCCCGATAACGATATAAATCACAAAAATTTTACATTTTCTGTAAATTCTGTGAATCTCAGGCAGCTCGACTTGTGTGAAGTGTTTCCAGCTGGGTGTCGTGTACCTGGAGTCAAGTATTTTAACCAATGCATGAAACTATGCATTTTTAGACATATGTTGTAACAGCCGCCATTTTCGTTGTGAGTATTTATTACACGGCGTGCTGCAGGGAAAAGCCTGTTCTAACGTTTGAGTCTAAGGTTTTAAGGTTTATTTTTTAGCACCTGACGGCTCTTCTTTGCTTCTCATCCGTAAACACTCTGCATGCTCTTTCACGTGATTCCGTTTATTTTGAAAAGTCTCAACAGGATCTTGAGCTTTATTGTGAAAGGTTTATGTGGAAAATAAACAAGCGGACACGCGATGATTTTACCGTCGTTGTTGCTAACGACAACGCATAAAAACAGGCGCTTGTCCGTCCGTAGTGTGGCTATATTAAATATAAGAGAAAGAGAGAACTTAAGAAATTAATATAGCCACTACAGTGACCATCAAAACGATGAAATATCGTTATATCAAACAGCCCTAAAGAGGGGTCCCTATTTAAATGAACAAGGTGAAGTCTATTAAATAGTTATGATTCAAATCACTGCAACACAGTATCTTTCATTCCTATAGCATGCTCTAATCACTGTAATTAAATACTACAGTCAACAGTGCAATGATCCACTAAGGCCGAGCAGAACACACACAGTCCCAATCAAATGTTTCAAACCACTTGAAAAATGCCAGAAAGTCATATTTTGCATGGTTGGAACCAAGAAGAGCTCCAACATCAACAAGAAGAAATGAGAGTGAGAAAACATTTTTTTGAACATGCAAGTTATTGAAAACAATGCTTAAACAGAAATCAGAAGGTCGGTGGTTCGATCCCAGGCTGCCTCCTGGCTGCATGCCAAATATCCTTGGGCAAGATACTAACCCTGTGTTTGCCTACTGGTGGTGAGGCAAACACAGTGCCTGGTGGTACTGGCGCCACCAGGCCAGAGGGCCTGGTGGCGCCAGTGTTCGGCAGCCTCGCCTCTGTCAGTGCGCCCCAGGACAGCTGTGGCTACAATGTAGCTTACCATTGCCAGTGTGTGAATGTGTGTGTGAATGGGTGAATGACTGAATGTAGTGTAAAGCGCTTTGGGGTCCTTAGAGACTGTATAAAGCGCTATACAAATGCAGGCCATTTACCATTTAAACTGAAACGGGCTGTTTTACAGCCGATCAAAAAGGAACATTTCTCCAAGCGGCGAACACAGCCGCACGAAGGGTGTCTACTGTCTGGAACTGTTGTCCATTTTTGTAAACTTCCCTTGCCATCCGTCCCCAAAGATTCTCAATTGGACTTAGATCAGGGGAACACGCAGGATGGTCCAAAAGAGTGATGGTATTCTCCTGCAAGAAGTTCCTTGTCCTGCGGGCATTGTGTACCGTAGCGCTGTCATGTTGAAAATCCCAGTTGTTACCACACAGACGAGGGCCCTCAGTCATGAGGGATGCTGGACATAACCAGTGGCCATTCGCCCCCCCTGCACCTCCTGAAGCTCCACTGTTCCACTGAAGGAAAAAGCACCCCAGGCCATTATGGCACCTCCTCCACTGTGGTGCACAGAAAACATCTCAGGTGGGGTCTGCTTGTCATCCCAGTAACATTGAAAACCATCAGGACCATCAAGGTTAAATTTTTTCACATCAGAGGATAAAACTTTCTTTCACTTTTCAGTGTTTAGTGCTCTCTTTCAGTCTCTGGCATTTAATGAGACAAGACCATTTAAGATCTTTAATGTTTTTGAAGCCATTCGGTCTAAGATGCCGTCTGATGATTATGAGGCTGCAGTCGGCACCAGTAACGGCCTTAATTTGGGTCGAGGATTGTCCAGTGTCTTGACAAACAGCCAATTGGATCCTCCAGCTCAGTGCTGGTAAGGGTTTCTTGGGTCTTCCACTTGACCTTTTTGTTCCTATAACCATCAGGATCATTTAAGAAATTCCAAATGACTGTCTGACTGCATCCCGCCTCAGCAGCAATGGCACGCTGCGAGAGACCCTGCTTATGCAGTTCAAAAACCCGACCACGGTCCAAAATGGGACGTTTTTTTGCCTTTGCCATCAGAACATCCTGACATTGTGACTACCTGACAGGAGATGACAATGAATTCACGTTTTTGCATAGATTTTGCCTCTTAAAGGCATGTGGTCTTAAAATTTTGATCAGTTATAAAACAGCCTGTTTCAATTTAAGCACTGTTTTCAATAAATTGCATGCTCCAAAAAATGTTTTGTCTCACTCCCGTTTCTTCTTGTTGCATATTGAAGCTCTAGTTGGAACCTTGTTGAGATCCAACCATGCAAAATATGATTTTTTTTCAAGTGGTCTTAAACTTTTAATCAGGACTGTATATACTGAGGAGGTTGGGACAGCAGGTGGAGCAGAAGTAACAATATTATTAATGGTGTCAAATAACGCCATAGGATTTCCTGTTCTATTTGTAACCAAGTGTGAGAAATAGTCAGCCCGTGCATCTCTAACTGAACTGTTGAAAGAAAAGATGAAAAGATCCTTTTGCTGAAGGGGATGAATACAAACTGAATTTTCCTTCACTAGTGCTCACCTTTTCCACAAGAACACTTTAAGAGGCGTATGGTGTTTATCTGATTTATCCAAGGTGACAACTTTGAAACAGGAGCTAATCTTCTATGTGAATGTTAATATTTCCAATCCTAAACGGCTTAATAATAAATCACTAAACTTCTTTAAAAACAAGCCATTTGGGTTAGGTTGACGATCCACCTGCACAATAAAACAGATTCTTATTCCCGACTCCTGCATGCACCAAGGAGGGCACTGCTGAGGATGCCAAATAAGGATTCAGGCACAAAATATCAAAACAGGAGGATGCGGTATCTTGACCCATCAGATAGCATGCATAAAGGCGTTCATAAACTAAGGCAGACAGCATGCCGGAATCCAGGATAAAACCCGAGTTAAGGTAGCTGCTCTGTACTGTGTTAGCAAATAGCATTAAAGAAGATAACAGTGAAGGAATTATACCCTTAAGTTTAGTTACAGCGCTATCGGCTGTATTTAAAAGTATTCCCAACTGCTGTGTGATCCATTATTGTAAATTTTATTGTTGTTAGGAAATGATCAAAGGGTTTTCAATGAATACTTTTATTCTATTCTTCTCAGAACTAGATGGAGAGTGTGGTTAACGTTGTTGTGGGTTCTTTTACATTTTGAGAGAAGCTAATTGAGTCTAATAATAGATTAAATGCTGTGTTGAGGCTGTCAAAACCATCCACAACAATTATTTTATTTGAACTGAGCACTAAGTCAGATAACAAGTCTGATAAACCTCTGAGTAAGGGCCAAGGGGACAATAGAGAAACAACAAATAAAACTGGTTATTTTACCAGTTGGGTCATAACTTTATTTGCTTAATTTACTATCTTCAGCGCTTCTATTTGTTCTACAGGCATCAAGTACACGAGAAGGAGGAATTCAAAGCCTTAAAGACCCTCAACATTTTCTACCAGGCAGGAACCTCAAAGATTGGAAATCCAGTGTTCTACTATGTCGCCCGCAGGTAGGACTTGGCTTTACTTATTTCTCAATTTAGTAAACTGACAAAATAATAGATAAGAGTGCATTTGTTGTTAGAGACTTTGGTTCATTTTAAATTGCTGTCAAGCAAACCTTGCATTTAAAATTTCCTTTGCCGAAAATGAAATGATGTGGAGGTTTCAAATTAGTCAGGACAGAGCTATTCTGTAAAGATGTATTGTATCTGTCAGAATGTGTGCTGGCAAGTTGGATGAATTATTTCTAGATTAGCCACTAACCACATATCCTGTGTATGGTGTTAGTGTGTGATGTTTCCTGGATACCAGTATGCACCTATCAACAGTAGTTGAGACAGTATCTGCTTCAAACAGATTGGTTTTTGGTTTTTAAAAATAGGACCCTGTTGTATCAGTTCTGTCTGCGATTGGTGCCTGAGCACGCAATGTAAAAACCATTTTGTATCTGCTTATTTGAGTGTCCCAAAGCATTCACAGTATTGACATCCAAATCTTTATTATTATTGAGTGTGCCAGTACAATAGTACTGAGGCATTGTCTAAGGAGCTTGGGAAAAAAGGTTCTGGACTTATTTAAGTTTTCTTGAAGACGTTGAGGGGTGATCTCATCCTAGAAGCTTATTCAGTTCTAAGCACAATTGTTGGAGAGTCCCAGTATTGAGGCATTCTGAAAGTTGATTCAGTTCATCTGGACGTAGCACTTTCAGTTGGAGAAATGTTTCGTCATTCATCCAAGTGACTTCTTCAGTCTCAGCTGACTGCAGGTTTCCCCACCCTTATGAACACTACATTTGCATGATGAATGAAACTAGCACCACTGGCGAACAATGGGCTGACAGGTCAGTTTCTTGATCATTAATATGCAAATTGTCATGACCATTGATCAACAACCACCTATCAAAGGCCATTGGTCAACTGCTATTGATCACTGAGGAATGACCATTGATCAATGGTTATGAGTACCATTCAGAGAGAGTGGGAAGTGGCTGCAGTTCTTCTAAAGGAACACACACATGTAAAGAAAGCTATTAAAACATGTTTTTATCCCAACATGGGCTTTAATCAAATCAGCAAAGATGCACAGTAAACAAGGTCAGACACCAACTAGGGAGAAACAGAATGACAAACAGAACAAAAATGTCATCCCTTATGTAGCCAGTTTATCAAAGAAACTGGCGCACACTCTGACAAAAACTGGTTCGTCCCAAAGACAAACTAAACAACAGACCTCTACATTCGACAAACCCAACAGCCACTTCATAAACGTATGGCACAACATAGAAGAGCCACCTCGACCGGACAAGACTCAAATGTACATCTGCATCTAAAGGATAAAGGTCACTCTTTTGAGGATGCCAATGTAGACCGTTTTTGGTAGCTATTCGCCACATAGTTTTTGCAACATTCTCAACAAATTTTTCCCATTCATTTGAATGGAAGAGCATCTGACAAAGAGCACCGAACCAGGCCACTTTGGAGCCCTCCTGCTCAGCCATACTTTATCGCAGACACATCATCCAAACTTTATACAGGTCACAAGGTTGTCCATCACATTTTACACACAGTACAAACATGAAAGTTAGTTATTTTGTACTTGAGAAGTTGTTGCTGCTCACAATTAAATATTGTTTGCGATACAACTTGTAGGTTTCTCTTGGTAAAGTGTTGTTTGAGACTCAAATTCCTGTTTGCGTTCCTCTTTCAGTTTCACAAGTGGAATTTGCAGTCTGCAAATGTCTTCATTCGCATACATTTTTCAGTCTGGCACAGGGGTGAAGAGGGGTTTTCACCCACCCAAGACACACTCCCATGCAGTCCTCCCATGCAGATGCGACTGCTGAAAGTTGATTGGTTGACCAGTGGCCTGGAATAGAGAAGGAAGCAATAGCGATAGTCGAGTTCACTCGGAACAGAAGAACTGGGGGGGAAAAAACTTCAGAAATTAAAAAATACAGCATGAAACACACAGTTGCCGTAGTGCACACTTTTCACTATGTTTAACACTCTATCTCACTTAAGCTCTTTATATGTTATAGCTTCACTCTCCTTTGCGGCTGGCTGACTCACCAACAGCAACAACATGAGCAAAACTGTCTCACAGATTGGCTCACATGCTTTAAACACTGCTTCCGTCTGACAACAGACTCTCTGCAGGCAGTTGGGCAGTCCCCATAGTGGAACGGGAGGAGAACATGCTCACGTGTGTGTATTACACACTGTCCTATTGTTAGTCTTTAACTGGTAAATTGGAAAGTATTTTGTATTACAAACATTTTGGGCTTCTTATTGTGAACAGCACTGTTCTAAATGCCTTGGTACGACCAAAACAGCACAATAGCATTGATTAGGAATCAGCTAATAAATGAACCCAGCAGCATGTGTTCAAGCAGTAATCTAAATGTTTACCTCTGACATTTTTCTTTGTGTACAGGATTTTAAGAGATATTGTCATGACGATAACAACAGTTGCAACAGTTTTTATACGGCAAATGAAAATGGAACTGCTACATACAGGAAATGACTTATAGATTTAGTGTCCACAAGATTCTAATAACTGTTACACTATGTGTATTGTAGTTTCGATGGTGGTGAGTGCAGTTGTCATGACTACAACAGACAGAATGACTGTTTGTTGAGGTTTGATGTCCAGTTTGCAGCCTTCATTATATAAACGAGTTAGTTTAGGCTTATTGGTTAAAGACCTTGGATGTTCTGTTGTGCTTGTGTGTGAAGAAAAACTATCCATACTTGTTGAAGATGTCCAGATGTGATCCCCAGATTCATTCATACCTGCTTTGCCCTGATACATTCCACTGTCAACAAGTGGAGACTTCGCCTGATAGTTAGGTGTGTTCTCTACAGTCCTTGGGGGCAATTGAACATCCTGCCCTTCACTTCTGTTGTTAACCCAGAGTGGTGGCTCCGTAAACCGAGCTGAGTGCCTTTCCCTTCCTGTTACTGGTAAATGGGATTGCCCACAGATGGGTCTTGTATAACAGGGGCACCCCAAAACGGTTGCACGGGTTTTCTCTGACCATCTAAGGAGCTTTGTTATGTGTTCTTCTTCTTCACAAGCCCAGGGGTTATCCCCAAGAGTAATAATCTCCAGTCCTATTAGGTCATCAAAGATTCCCTCAGACAGCCAGGTGAAGCGGTTAGCATGCAAATAAAACTGGGCCAGTCGGGGCAGTCGATCCAACGATCCGGGCAGGATCTGCAACAGATAGTTATGTGACAAGTCAATGATCTCCAGATTGTGTGGCATGTTTGTGGGCACTGTCCAAAACCTGTTATGACTGAGGTTAAGAGACTGTAGGCTCAACAGTGTGTTATTGATAAAGACCACTCTCTCTAGCTCATTATCTGATAGATCCAGTACTTTCAGGTTCCAGTGGTAGGCTGTGTCATTTTTGTCTAGAGAGCGTAGATGGTTCCCTGCTGCTCGAATGTCCCACAGAGACCGTGGCAGGGCAGGGGGGAGACTCTCCAGGCGGTTGTAGGACAGATCCAGGGTGCGCAGATGGACATAGTGGCTGAGCTGGTTGTCCAGACCGTGCAAGCTGCCAAAAGAATGTCATATTTAATCGTCATATTTATCACCATCATAATTGTAATGGAATGGTAATATTGCTAATTGGATTGATGAATAATCAAATGGCTAAAAAAGCTAAAGCATGAATGTTTGCTAGTGTAAAAACACTCTGAGTGCTTAGAAGGATTAGAGAAGCGCTTAATAAATATCAGTTGATACCATATAGCATGATTATAAGCACAGAAGTATAACAGGAGTCTGAATATAGGGATCTTGTAAAAGCCTTGAGTATCTGGAGTTAAAAAAAACTACTCATATTATGTTCATATTGAACACCTTTAAGACAAAGGAAATGATAGTAGATTGCCTAAGATACAGGCCTCCTTTCCAGCCTGTAAAAGTTTGTGGCATGGACATAGAGATAGTAACAAATTATAAATATCTAGGTTTACACCTATACAACAAACTAAACTGGTCCTGAATACAGGAGCCATCTCCCTCTCTTTTTTTTTTAAGGAAACTAATATCTCTTGAAATCTGCAGTAAATTGCTGCAGATGTTCTTTCAGTCTGTGGCACTAACTGTTCTATGCTGCACACTTCTACTGGGAAGGCAGTGTCAGAAACAACGATGCAAGAAGCCTGGACCTACTAGTGTAACCTGTAATTGCTGTAATTTGAGCCATACTGGGGAAGATGGTGGAAAGATGCATACTAAATCCATTAGAAGCCATTCTGAATAATTTTGATCACCCACTTTACAAAATCTGTATGAAACAAAAAACGGATATCAGTTTTTTTCATCTCATATAAGTAGCAGATGAGTGATGTCAGATATATGAGCTCAATCAACAATCAAGTTATTCTTATTCTGTTATGAACAGTTGCTATTAGTTCCAAGTTCATTTTTAGAAGTCCCTTAAAGGCTTTTACTTGTGAGTGTGTATGTAAAAATCTATTATTATTAATTTACAAGTTCAGGACGCTTATCTGGGACAGCTATATATTTTAACAGTCAGATCCTCTAGTTAAGTAAATTTCTGCTTAACCATATGCTACTTATTCTGTTACCTGTTACATGCACATGTATCTAAAAGTGAGTCATGTAATATAATGTCTAAAAGTGGAGCATTTGAGAGGTGCAGGAGCTTACCTGTTAAAAGAAAGGTTGAGAAAACGAATGTTATGCTGCAGACCAGGCGGTAACTTGGTCAGGCCTCGTGAAGAGCAGTCCACAACACGATGGCCTCCACTGCAGGAGCAGGCAGCGGGGCAGATGGACAGCACCCAGCCTCCCAGCAGCCCACACAGCAGCAAGAGGAGTAGGTAGAGCACAGATGCAGAGCATACAGGCATGCTTAGAGCTCTAGAAGTGAGACAGGTTTTTAAAGTAGTAGATTAGATATAAAGCTGGCTAGTTCTAGCACATGAAATTTTGTAATATTTAAACTTTAAATGGATACTTCCATTATTTCAAATATTCTATATTTCTCTGTAAGAATCTGACGTAAATGTCAGATTATTTACTGAAATTAGATTTTTTTGCTGACGTAGTCCAGATATCTTTGGCAAGTGTACTGACAGAATATATTTTAAGTGATTTTTTTTTTAAAAAATGCAGTTACTATAGCTCAGGAGGTAGGGAAGGATGTCTACTAATCTGAAGGTGGGTGGTTTGATCCACGTCTGTGTGCCACATATACATAACTCCAAGTTGCTCTTCTATGCAACCACTGGACTATGAACAGGTATAACTGTTAGAAAGCAAGTGCTTTTGTAGGAAAAGCACACAATGCTTTTATTATTGTGTGAATGAGGCAAGTTGTATAAAGCGCTTTGACTACTCAGGTACGGTAGAAAAGCAACATATGAGAACCAGTCCATGTAACTTTATGTACTTCTGATGTGATAGGAAGTACATAAAGTTTAGGTATTTCAGTTAGAAAATCTTTTTCTTTTTTTTCTTTTTTTTTTT